TTTTGGAAAAGGCAAAACTAGGGATAGAAAACAGTTGATGGTAGTTGTGCAAATATATGCATTTGTCTATAATTCATGGACTATACATTTAAATAGATGGATTTGAGCTGGGGTGTAATTCAGTGGTAGAGAATTTCGTCTGATGAGTACAAAACCTTAGGTTTGATCCCTGCCACCTGAATATATTATAAATAAATTATACTTCAGTTTTTAAATGATGGAAAATCATTTAGTGGCTGGCCTTCTCAAGGTCATATGATCTAATCACCCCTTTCCTTTGTTTCCTAACTTTAACTCCTGTCCCTCTCCCCTTGCTAATTTTTTTTTTTTGGTACAATTTTTTTTTTTAGTACTAGGAATCAAACTCAAGGCCTCATGCTTGCCAGGCAGGCACTGCAGTACTGTGCTATATTCCCAGCCCTCCTCTTGATAATTTTGCTCTAACTACATTGGCTACCCTGCTATCCCTTACTCAAACCATACACCAGGGTCTTGGCACTTACCGTGACTTCTGCTCATTATACTTCTAGATGCAAATGTCCATGTGGGTCTCTCTCCTCTTTAGGCCTTTGCTGATTGATTTGTACAATATTAATGGGTAGCCCTGGTTCCCTTCTACCAGCATCCCCTACTCTCAGCACTGTATGAATGACAAAGTAGGTATTTCCCACTACATGTTTTTGCTGTCTTTGTCCTCACCCTACTAGACTGTAAGCTCCACTTAAGAAATTTTTATCTGTGTTTTTCACTGCTGTTTTATCATCATTTGGAACAATGCCTAACACATAGAAAATGCTTAGTGAGAATTCATGGAATTAGTGAATGTTAGTTTTATCCTATTTAAACCCTTCGAACTATAAACTGTTACTTGGCATGAACTCATAGAAGCCTATTAAGATAGTGTGTCTGTATATATATTGATGCATATATGGGTGCATATAAGTAAATTACTCCAGTCTTTGATTCTTACTATAAGAAATTGATGTGAGTATAGATTATTCTTTCTGTTGAAAAAAGTGAAACTGTATAGAAACAATCTTTTATGTGTATCTGTTCTCATTGCCTAATTTCACTTCATAAAGTGTCCCTATTTTTCATTCTTCAGATGTGAATGCTTTAAGTATACAGATTTTTTTAATTTAAAAAGTCCAAAATGAGTTCATATTTCTTATACCATGTTTCCTTGTTTTACCACAAACCTAAAATAATGTAAGTAAAGCACTGTATTTGTTGAGAAAACCAAATTGATGTTTAACAGTAGTGTTTACCATAACTGCTCTGTGAGTGGTGGTGTCCTTTATGTCATTATTTTACAACAGTGTTTGCTTACATGAGGCCTTTGCTTTTAGCCAGTATGTTTGAAACTGAACTGCTGGTTTAGTTTTATTCTTTTTACCAGTAAAACTGTTGAATATTCAAATACCAAGGTTGCTGACTTAACTAATACCTTCATTGTTTTCCACATTGGTCCACTAGTAGGGGATATCAGGTCTGTTTTCATTCTGAAGAAAAGCCCTAGAGACTATGTACATTGAGTATCAGATAATGTCTACACAATGAATTGAGTAATGAGCTACTGTTGTTTATTCTTCTGTAGTATAATTGGTTGGGTTCAGACAATAATGTAACATCTGTTGTTATACTGGCAGGGAAATGTCAAAATAGAAAAGCAGACAGGTGAATTAAAAGGAGAGCAAGCAGAAGGGGAAAAAAGGAAATACTGAATTTCAAGTGCTGATTTAAAGTAGGTATAGAGGAACATTCATAACAATAGTGATTATATACACCACCGACTCTTCTCTGTTGTTTGTTGTGTAGGTTATAGTGAAGATCAGAGCTAAGCACTGGTCACTAACTGAGGGCTGACCACATATCAGTATCTTCTAAGTGTTTTTAAAATACTACTGTATTTTGTAGAAGGATTTTGTAAGGTCCTATTTTATACGAGAAAACTGCAAGTAGTGAGGACTGTCATTTACGTAAAGGTCAGTATTTGATCCTATGTATGTTTTACCTCAAAGTCTGTGTTTTTAGCCATACATTGCAGCTTAATTAACATTTTTCAAACTTCATTGTTAGAAGTCATGACAGCAATAGACTTTGGGGAGAGGTAGCTCCCAGAAGAGGAACATGCTTCTGAAATATATAATCAGGGTGCTAATTTTACAGATATGTTCACTTGCTGAAACTTTAATCATGTTGCACACTTAAGATTTTAGCACTTTTTACTAAGTATGTTAAACTTTAGTAAAAATTTTATTTTATTTTATTTTATTTTTATTTTTTATTTTTTGGTTTTTCTCCGGTACCGGGAACCGAACTCAAGACCTTGTGCTTGCCAGGCAGGCACTTTGCCGCTGAGCTAAATCCCCAGCCCCCTAAAAATTTTAAAATGCATACCTTTAGACAAAAAAATAAGATAAAGCTTACTGTATGTAACACTGATTCAAATTTTGTAAAATGTCTACAATCTGTACATGCTACAAGTAGCATTTAATTTTCATATCCACACATTCATCCATTCAGTTATTAAAATAGTATGTTGTTGCTGCAATAGTTTAGTGTTTGAAAATACTCAGCTGAAATTCATTATGACTTAGAATACTAACATTAGATAAACTTCCATTCATAGTATCAGTCAAGAAAAAGTCAAAAGTGACTTTTAACTCTCTATTTATCTGGTCTTTGAGCTCTCCATTGCTTAATCTCTCCATTTGTGGTTATCTATTTTCCATGCAAATGAGAATGTAGGATTATTTGGATAGTGCAAGCCCTTCCAAATCTGATAGTCTATGTACAACTTCTCTTAACTATAATAAAAGCAACTATTTACTAAAGCCTTATTATGTGTTGTAGACTACATTGAGAACTTTCATATATATCAATTTTATACTGCCCATCTCTATAATCCCCTTTGAGGTCAGTGATATTATTCAGTGCTTCCAGAAGGAAAATGACCTAAGAATTATAAAACAGATTAGCTTTGTCTGTATACTGTAGACATTCTGAATGCTTTTAAAAATACTTCAGTATTAGAACCACCAAATTACCCTGAATGATACAGAAATTAATTTCATATAATATTCTTGGTAACAAACTTTGTATTCCCATTTGGTATTTTAAATATAACACATATGTATAAGTAAAAAATCAAAACATATTCAGAAAACTTTTATGGTCATCTCTTCTACCTGTTTCCCTACCTTCTTTACCTTCACATTTTTCTTCAGTTCTCTGTATTTGGCTATGATTATTTATTTTCTCCAAAGAAGCAACTTATACACTGGTTAGCCAGTATATTTTCTTTTTTTCTGGCTCATTCCTTTATGCTTTTGTAACTGTTTTATTGGAGATTTTTCCTAACTTTTTAAATCTAATTCTTAATTCACCTTTAATGTTTTCATTTTTGCTATGGTATCATACTGTGTTGTCTAGTCTCCTCTTGGACTCCTGGGCTAAAATAATTCTCCCACTTCTCAGCCTCCTGAGTAGCTGGGATGATAGGTGAACACCAGCGCACCCAGTTTATTCTTTCTTTTTTAATAAAAAATTTTACAGCAGTGGATCTTGTTGGAGCACTTTAAGATGAATCCTATAGATGCCGAGATGAAGTGTTTAAATAGCTGTTTCCCAGGTATTCTGCAATTTTGATTTATATTTCCTTTTTGGCCCAAGAGATATTTAAGAGAAAGTTTTTTTAAGGTTTTTTTTGCCACCCCCCCCCAGTTGGAAGAGCAACATCAACTTGGAAAATTTGCTGTTGAGGTTTAAAGAACTTAAATCCTAATTTCTTTCATAATACATTACTTGGTTATAATAGTAATAGATTGATTTGAGGGGATCACATCTGTTTTTCTACTAATGATAAATTGAGAACACAGAAATGCTAAGTAGCCAGAATCACAATGTAACTGAAGTAGAAAATGCTAATACCAGGCTTACTTACTAAGAAACCTCTCACATTGTGACAGATTTAAAAAAAAAAATGTTTTTCTGAAGTTCTGCCATAAATTCTAACATAAACAAGTACCTCAGAGACCTTCTAACCCCTTTCACTGGAAAGTCATAAGGTTGAAGCAATATGATCTGTAGATTGAGAACTAGGGAAAGCTGGGATGTTCATGTTCAAGTTTACCCGTAAGATTTCTCCTGTTTATCATACCTAGTTGAGTCTGTTTTCCTGTAAAATGAAGGGCCTGGTCCATATCTTGGTGCAGAAATCTGTCATTCTGAGAGTTGGCCAAATCCACACAGCAAGGTACTGACAACACTGGAAATAGGATTGTAGTTTCCTGACTCCAGTAGACCTCATTTGAGGTTTTTTCATTCTATTTTTTGAAACTTTTATTGTAACACAATGTATATGGCAGAAATTTGCCATTTTAAGTGTATTATCAATTATTCCAATCTTTCGGTTCCATTTTATCTTTAACATATTGTGCAATATTTTATAGATTCTTCAGTTTTTTTCTGATTGGTAAATGTATTTTCTCAAATATAAATGTATGTGTATATTTTGTGAATGCTTCTAATAGTGTTAATTCATACCTTACAAAGAAAGCAGTTGGATAGTTAATGCATATTTCCACAATCTCAAGAACCTGAGCCGGGGCTGGGGATTTAGCTCAGCGGCAAAAGCGCCTGCCTGGCAAGTGCAAGGTCGTGAGTTCGGTTCCCGGTACCGGAGAAACCCCCCCCGCAAAAAAAAAAAATCAAGAACCTGAGCCTTCAGTTTAAAAATAAGTGTTTATTTTGAATGTACTCACTAATTTAATAATGTGTGTCTTCAAGGTGGAATTCATTGTAATTGTCTGTTGGGCTAATATTAAAAAAATGAAAAACACATGTATATTATTCAAGCATGAGGCTTTTTACTAAGTGGTGTAAAGACTGTTCAGTGTGTTTCTAGAAAGCAGCATCTTTTTTCAAGTCTCCCTCTCTGCCACTTCCGGCAGTCCCATCTCTTTCATATTGTAACAGCTGGCTTTTGCTCTTCTTAGGCCATCCGACTCTCCTTAGAGCAAGCCCTGCCTCCAGAGCCAAAGGAAGAAAATGCTGAGCCTGTGAGCAAACTTCGGATCCGGACACCCAGTGGCGAGTTCCTGGAGCGGCGTTTCCTGGCTAGCAATAAGCTCCAGATTGTCTTCGATTTTGTAGCTTCCAAAGGATTTCCATGGGATGAATTCAAGTTACTGAGCACCTTTCCTAGGAGAGATGTAAGTTGCCATACCTATGTAAGGAAGTGTATCAATATGGGAGATATCTCATTAAATAAGGCTAGAACAAGTAACCTAACAAAAATCAAATGGTGTAGGCTAGTATCAGACATCCAGAAGTCCGTCTTCATTCTGCATAAGCATTCTCATCTCAGCTTTTGGAAAAAGTACAACTTCTTAGCTATCAGACCTGTGCCCAGGAGCCTATGTGGGAAATGAGGTACTGGATTGTTCTTCCTTCTCTGCTGTCTAGCTCCTCCCCTAACCCACGTAGCAGCATGCATCATGGGCTTTCCTGAGATGTTATCTTTGTATTCCAGAGTGTACCTGAGAATTTTGTGTTTAACAGCCTAACAGATCAAGGCCAAAAATTAGAAGTTCACTAAGAATGAATTATGCTAAACAAAAGAGTATTTTGTGATTTGATAGTCATACCAGTCTGGGAAGTCAGGAATGGAAATCTGTATTGTCTGTTGTATCTGTCTGTTCAGCAAGATGTGATAGTTAACTTCACTGACAACTTTGGATCTACCTATCAGATTAGTAAAGCACACTTCTGGGTGTCTGGGTGGGCAGTGGACCTTGACCTTGGGGTCTACATATGGTCTCAGGCCCTATCTCTCTGGTGCTTTTCCCCCATGCAGTGCTTCCTAGCTGCCTTAAAGTAAGCAGATTTATTCCACCATGTTCTTTTGCTGTGATGGTCTGCTGTGGAGTTAGCCAGCCAGCCATATACTGAGCTTCTGAAACTGTGGGACAAGTAAACCTTACTTTCTTTAAGTTGTGAGTTTCAGGTACTTTGGTCCAGCAAACAGGAAAGATGACCAGTACAAAAAATAGGTACCAGAGAAGAGAGATAGTTAACACATGACTCAGTTTTTGGAACTAGTTTGCAGAAAGAATTTAGTGATGCAGGGAAGAGAAGCCCTAGAATGTCATAAGCAGAGATGGATGGGAAATTATAGTTAAAGCTCAGAAAAATCAGAACGTTTTTAAGAATGCACACAGTAAAGGCCAGCTTCATGAGGTTTCATATGGGAACTCCTTGGGAAATGGACTAGAGGCCATGAATGTTACATTCAGACAAAAAAACTTGACTCCATTTTGTCTATAATCTGAGACTTTCTAAGAGGCTAAATTTAAAGGTGATAGACTAATTGATCTGGTGGAGGAAATTTCAAGGCAGCACAATATTCAGGCTGTGGCATGGATACTGTTGGCTACCTTTTTTATGGTTTTGTTTTCTTTCTCTTTTTGTTTTGTGTTGTACATGTTTGTAGTACATAATGTTTATATTACTTGTGTGAAGTTGGTACATGTACATAACGCATCCAGATTTCTTTTTCTTTTCATCCCTTATCCCTTCCCTCCTTCCTCCTTCCCTCTATCTCTTGAGCCTCTTCTCTTCTGAGCATGATTTATCTCCCTATGTCCTATTTCTTTTATTTTGTTCTTTATTTTTACTCTGGGTTTCTCATATATGAGAAACAATGTGATATTTAAGCTTGTGTGTATGATTTATTTCACTTAACATTATGGTCTCAAGATGCTTCTATTTCCTACAAAGGACTCAAGTCTATCCTTCTTTATGGCAGAGTAGTGTGTTGATGGACATATGGACTACTTCCAAGATTTAGTTGTTATGAATTACTTTGCTATAAACAGGGGTATGCATGTATCTCTGTAATATGATGTCTTGCTGGCTACTTTTAACCAGATATCAAGAATTGAGACTAAAAAGCAGAGCCAAGATATATGAAAAATAAATTTTGGCCTAAAAGGAACCACACAAAGTTGGGAGTTGTAGTTGCTGAAGAGATCAGTGCCATTAAAAAGAGATCATGGGGCTGGGATTTAGCTCAGCGGCAAAGCGCCTGCCTGGCAAGCGCAAGGTCGTGAGTTCAGTTCCTGGTACCGGAGGAAAAAAAAAATAAAAAAAAAAAATAAAAAGAGATCATGTACTTTGAACAGGCTAAGAGTAAAAATGTCTTGAGGACATCTCAGGAATACCAAAGACCCTTTCACTACATGAAGGGAGCAAATGTAAACCTTTTTCTTTGAAAAGAGAGCCCCTGGGCCCCTTGCTTGAGAAGACTACCTAGGTAATTGGTTCCCTGGGATTCATTTATCATACTTAGCCATCCAGGTACATAGAAAGCCCTTCTAGACTTCATCATGGTCCAGAAAAATCCACATTTGTAATCCCATGGAAAAAGTTCTTGGAATTCTAATAAGTTAATTCCAATCTACCACTTCCAGTGCAACACAGAGCGAGAATAAAGACACTAAGGCATATTTTAGTTGTGGGGAGCCAAGGGGGTCCTAAGTCCAGCTAGTACAATGACTAACCCAAACAAAGGCCTTGACTCAAGGTGGAACCCAGGTTTTATTAATTAGTGAGGAGGGGAATGGCTTGGGGATGAATGACTGAGAGTGGTGGGAAATAAGTGAGCCTTGCTATGAGCTGGGCTAGGTAGAGGCCTGAAATCACCTCTGCAATATTTAGAGAGAGAGAGATGCAGAAAGAGTAATCTGCATAACACAATTTGAGGCCATATCTAATGTTTTGGGGTGCTTCAGCTTTGATGTGTAAGAAGGCCCTGAGAAGTTATAGTCTCTTATCTCAGCCAGCCTCTCATCCAGCAGGGTTCACACATACTTCTTAGGAGCTATGGGCAGGGCAGCACTGACCTTGCTTCAAAGACTGCACATCAGCACCTGGCTAGACCCATTTGCATTACTTAAAGCCAGTTGAGATAAACACAAAACTTAGCCAGCTCTGCACATATCAATTCAGGGAAATAAGGCCAGGTTTAGCCAAAATGGAGAGGGTTGCTCTTCTTTCAAGGAGAGTCATCCAGGTCGTCCTCCATACAAGTACTGTACTCAGGGACTGCTACAGCCATGGTTCAGGTGGGCCAGGCTGCTGCTTTAGTTAGCAGCAAACCTTGGCATTTCCACAAAATGCTGGTTGCTCAGGCACATGGAATGCAAGAGTTGTGGGGTCATGGAGACTTTCACTCAGATTATGAAGGAAGGCCTCAGAGGCCGGACAGTGTGCCCCTGAGAGGGCAGTGTATGAAGCTGGGATTGAAGCCAAAAAGTCAGAAAGGGCAAGAATGTGGAACATATGCCAAAGAAAGCCACAGGTTGGTTGCAGGCAGAGCAAGCCTTAGAAAAAGGCCATGTGGGTTTTAGCAACAAGGCCATGGCAGTGGAACCACCAAGTCCTTGAGAACTCACACCTTATCATCATGTGCCTCACATGCTGGACATTAAGCTACAGAATTTAACATTTGCCCTGATAGGTTTCAGTCTGTCTTTGTTCCAATTCTTTTCTATCTCCCGTTCCTCCCTTTTGGAATGGGAATGCTTGACCTGTCCAATTGAATCTAGGGATTGAGTAACCTACTTTTTAAATCTCACAGGGGTTCACATCTAAGAGTTTGCCTTGAGTCTCAGAGGAGACTTTGACCTGTACTTTTGGGCAGTGCTGGAACTGTTGAGACTTTGGAAAGGGGACTTGCTGGTTTTCGTTGTGGACAGGACAGTTACATTATGTTAGGTAGGCTTATGAACTTGTTAGTATCTTTATTTGGAAATTAACTGTGGTTTGAGGAAATGTGTCTGGGTTGACAAGGGGTGGAATGTGTGTTAAGCTTAAATGATTAGCTTGGGAGCTGCCTAGACTAATAAAGCACACATGTGGAGTGCGTAGGTAGATAATGGAAACTTGACCTTGGGGACTATTCATGATCTCTGGCCTCTTCCTCTCTGTGCTCTGCCTATTTATCATGAAGTAAGCATCTGTGCTTCACCATGCCCTTCTACTGTGATGTTTTGCCTTGGGACAGGCCAGACATGCACTAAACCTATGAAGCCATGAGCCAAATGAACCTGTCCTCCTTTTGGCCTAAAAGGTGGTTGATGGTGTCAGGTATTTTGTCACAGCAGTAGGGAAGCTGACTAGTATACAAGGTATTTGATAATCTCTCATAATATTCTGGGCAAAGTAGAAAGATGAAGATATACAATTATATAGATTCACTGCTGAATAAATAATTGTGTCCAAAAAATCTTCACTGACTACTGTCTCCTTGGAGGAAACCATCAGTGGGGTAATCCTCTATTACTCATCATATTTCTTGGCAACGTAAGTGAAGACTTTATCAGATTTATGTGTTATGAGACATAAGTGAAGAAAACCTTAAAATACTGAAACTAGACAAAATGAAGCTGCAAAATTTTACAGAAATGTGCAGACAGTTGTTTTAGCAGACATTATGGTTGATTAAGCTGAATATATATTAATAATGTGTTAATACCCCCCCCCAAAAAAAGAGCTTACTGTATTGTTAGGTATAAGCCTAACAAGAGGGAATAAAAAATTATCCTGTTCAGCTTTCCACCTAGATAAAGGATGCCTGAAAGAAGCATTAGGCTTCATGCTGAAACAGGAAGCCAAAAGAAGCAGGAACATGTGTAGAACAGGCATAAAAAGAATGACAAGGAATTAGAAGTCATGTCATGAGGAATATATCCTCCAGAAAAGTAAAGGTAACGGGAGACATGATTGTTGCCCGCAACTACTGCAAGGCTTGCCATGTAAGGAAGGGATTCTGATTTGGTGAGACTACAGGGATAGAACTAGGATCAATGAATTGCAAGTTATAGCAGCAAGTTTGGCCTAATGCAAGACATTTGTTAAAAAAGGATATCCTTTATTGTAACGTAGTAATTTTCCTATCTTTAGAGATAAGAAGCACTACTCTTTTCAGCAATACAGATGTAAATGGAGTGGGACTCATTCCTATTGTTCCTGCTTTATATGGACTTGGATGAGCTCAATCCTAAAATACCTGGGAAATCATAATATTCTGTGGTTCCTTTACATCTAAGTCTAGTTAGCAAGACTTCTAGTTAGCAAGACTGTCATACCCAAACCAAGAATTTGATTAAGGCTTATCAGGTCCCAAGTTCCTCGCATTAGTTGTCATATT